TAGCATAACGAATTCATCTGGCATGACGTCTCATCGTCGTCATAGGTAGGGAAAAGTATGAATAATTTTTTTAAAAATGTTTTACTGTACGTCAAAGTCGCTTCGAAAGTTTCGTTTCTGGTCGTTTGATGCGTTCGGTCGTCGAAAAAGAATAGGGCATCAAATACGCATTTCTATTTTCTCATTTTTCGTTATTCCGTTGCCTGAATGTTTCAATTCGAAAATCAGTTTCGGAATCTTTCATCTCGGACCAGTGATGATTATTCTGAGCTGCGATAATTACTTCGAGGCGCAATCATAAACCGATATCATAATATTCATGGTCAACATTCATGGGGAGTTTCGGGATCGCAATCGGGATATCGATCCAATTACGATCCGAGCATCGACCCGAGCGCGACGAATGAATTCGGCGTGGCCGCCTTCCGATTCGGCCACACGCTCCTCCAGGGGATTTTCAAGTGAGAAATTTTGCCTTTCCCCGATTCCCCTCCCTCTGGAGTTTCTGGATAGGATACCTGCTAAAAGAAAAGTTTGACGCAGACTTTTTGGAGGAGAGGAGAAGAAGGAGATCCTGGAACTGCGTGCCTTTTTGGGCAATCCGAGTCTGTTGTACCCGAAGCGCAGGATGGATTCATGAACGCTCCCTGAATTTTCACACATTCGATACGGACTTTTACACAGGGACGAGTAAAACGTCCCGCGTGTTACACTTTGAGTCCTCTTTCATCCCTGGAGGAAGGACGACTTCCTCGCCAAACTGAGATCTCCCCCATATATTTATCGGGATCCCGACCCCTTCACCAATCGGAACCGCGTCCTCGTATTAGATCGGAACTCTCACAAGGAGAGTGACTCCCGAGGGTGAAAACGGCGGGATCCCACCGGTGCGGAACGGGAGCGTTTGCCCTTGGATCGGAAAGACGACGTCAGCCGCGTCGATACCATCCCGTTTCTCAATCCGTGTTTTTCATTTATGGGCCTTCAGGAGTGGAAATGGAGATGGATTTTAAGGACGATACGCACGGGATCGCGATCGACACGTGTGGCTTTCATTAATAGTCCATATTGTGGGCGTGAATATCCCTTTGGGAAAGGGGCGGGGATGTGCAAGACGTACCATGTCTCAGCGGCAGCTGCGTAGAGCATCGATGGGGCCGTCGCCTGAACTTGTGAATATCCGAAAATGCTACGCGCTTGATCTAGGCTGATCTGGAGATCGTGGATTTCTCCCCCTAGGCTGGAAATGTCAAACTTGATTAAGCTGACGACCGCGTGGTACCCTTTAGGGGTGGTTGACGAATCTTGCTCCAAGGTTTCCATTCCTAGCAGGTTGAAAAAGTCTATACTTTTCCAAAACAAACTGTTTGAAGAAGGACTTCGCAGGCCGGCAGTTTGACACCCCTGGCCTCGATCGACTCGAAGTTCGTTGAAGTTTTTTGCAGGTCGTTCTCGAGAACGGGATAGAGGGGCTGCAGCTTAAATCGTTGAGACGACCGCTGAGCTCGAGAATTGCAGCGAAACATGCGCTCGAGCTCGCATGTTCTCTCCGGTCTTTGCGACTGTCGGATCCGTTCTTGAGAATGGGAGAGAGTCAATGTACGCCTGGTGCAAATCCCCTCCCCCAAGCAAAAGATATTCACACCTCAACGTGATCTTTCACGCGAGAAAACCCACGTACAACACCTGGGAATAACTCTCCTTCGCGCAGAGGAACGCGGAACTCCAAGTGTGAAAGTGGTGGGATCCCATCTGGGTGAGACAGAACGGAAAGGTCATCCTTGGATCGCAAAGATGCCACCGGTCGTGTCGTAACCGTCCCGCTTCCGCATCCATATATTCCACTATGCCGAAGAAAAAAAAAGTAAATATCCTGATACAAACGACATGAAATTCGAAGCCACCAACTCAGATCGAAAATTTTCATTCCCTTTTAACGATTCCGATTTTTTTTTTTACAGTTTTCTGTTCTCAAAACACCTTTTTTACAGTTAAAAACATTCCGATGAAGAAAGAAACCTGAAAAATATAAGACCCTCCCGTGATTTTCGAACACAGGTGTCATGAGGTTTCATGACGAGAAATCCTGCAGATCTCATGAAAACTCATGAGTTTACATTTAGGTATTTTTTCGTTTTTTTTTTTTCGGCATAG